CGGATATTCAACCTCTCAGATCTTCTGGTAACGACCGCCTGTCTTCTGACCTAGCCTCTGCCTCTCCAGTCATCGCCCCTTTTCCCTCTTTAATAAACATTCTAAAACGTGTCATTCTGTGTTGGGTGTTTTTACGGGTCCGCCAGCTTGAAAACATTACAATTTCTGCCTCTTCATCAAGCTTACACCTCTGTATTTCTTGTTCTCTTAGGAGTTCCTCTCTTCTTCTGAGGGCTTCCCGAGCTTGTTGGTCCAGATGCTGGTACTGTTCATCCATCAGAGTTTCCTCCGTTATCTGTCTTTGTACCTCTGCCAACTCCATGCGCTTTATTCTCACCTCCAACATGGCTGTCTGTATGTCAGATAACCCATCGATGATTGACCTCCTTGTTGACGAACTGGTGCCGCCCTGGGTCTTAGCTTTACTGCGTTGAGAGACAGATTGGCTTCGATCTGATGATGCTCTCCTACTAGGTAGCCTACCTAGCCTACCTAGCCTACTAGGTAGGCTAGGTATGGCTCCAGTGATGGCAGCTGTCATCATTGCAGGTTAATCTGGAGGATGAGCTACACAAGACAATGTTTTGTGCAGCAACTACCTGTCTTTCTCATGAAGTGGATGTTATTAACATCGACAACTGGGATGACCTCGTTAGAGCCACTCATATGCGCCTTCGTGGGGCGGCCAAATACCTGGTGAGCCCCACCATGACAGCTGCAGATGTACAAGAAGCTGAACTACATCTCCTATGACAATCCCAAAGTGAGACCTTCCAGGAAGAGGTGAAACTCCTTGATGTGGGGAAGCCCATCTCCAAACAAAGCCGCCAAATCATGCTTGCTCCTGAGAATGATATAGCTGTCGGGCTGATAACAGTGGGAGGCAGGCTGCGAAGAGCAGAAGATCTGGATCTAGATACCATGCATCCAATTATCCTTGACCCGAAACATCATGTTACCAGGCTCCTCATCAAGAAATATGACAACCAGCTCCTGCATCCGGGTCCGGAGCGTGTATTCGCTGAAATTCGGAGAAGATACTGGATCCTACGCGGAAGAGAATCCATCAAACGGTATCAGTACAGCTGTGTGGAATGTCAAAAGTGGCACGCTAGTCCTGTAGTCCCACAAATGGCAGACCTTCCCCCAGCAAGACTCCGTCTATACAAGCCACCTTTCTGGTCTACCGGAGTGGACTGCTTCGGCCCTTACAATATCAAGGTGGGTCGACGCACAGAGAAGTGATGGGGGTTTATATTTAAATGCATGACAACGAGTTGTGTGTACCTCGACCTGCTGGAGAGCATTGACACTGATGCTTTTCTGATGGGATTACGTCGCTTCATCGCTCGTCGTGGCAAGCCCTTTGAAATCCTGGCCGACAGAGGGACCAATTGCCGAGGTGGAGCGGCTGAACTACAGACCAGCTTCCAAACTTTAGAAGCTCCTATCCAAGAGCAGCTGGCTGGACAGAAAATAGAGTTCCGATTCAACCCGCCAGGTTCCCCTCATTTTGGGGGGACATGGGAACAGGAGATCAAGTCAGTGAAGGCAGCCCTTCGAGTGGTACTGCAGGACCAAACTGTCACAGAATCTGTTCTGCAGACAGTTTTGATTGAGGTGGAGGGAATTCTCAATGCGAAGCCACTGGGATATATTTCCTAGGATGCTGCTGATCCAGACCCAGTCACCCCAAACTTACTACTCATGCGACGTTGTGATCCACAAGCCATTTACGCTTCCAGCGAACTCCTGGGCAGACGGCGATGGCGACACAGCCAGGTCCTAGCAGACCACTTCTGGTCCAACTTTATCCGCTATCATCTTCCTAACCTACAGAAGTGACACAATTGGCACAAGAATACAGACAATCTTGCAGTTGGGCAGGTTGTGATGGTGGTCGATTCACAACTGCCCAGGGCCCAGTGGCCGATCGGGAGGATTGTCAAGACATGTCCAGGCTCAGACGGTCGAGTCAGGGCAGCTGAATTGAGGATAAAGGGACAGACTTATCTTCGACCAGTTGTGCGCCTGGTGCGACTGCCAGCTTGGGAAGATGAAGATGACTCTGGCTAAACACCTGATACGACTTTCCTCTAGTTTTCGAATTTATAACTAAATTCGGGGGCGGCTATGTCAGAAAGGGCTATAGTTATTGCAGTTCTAGAAGATCCATTTGTAAAGTTACCCCAATCTTATTTTGGTGGTCCAGTTTGTGACGTCACTTCCTCTAGATAGTCACTTCCTGTAAAGCCGTTTCTACCATTTTGTCCAAGTTGTTGGTGGTGGCAGACAGCCTCGTGTGCGTTCATGACTGATATGTAAGTTTGGTCAACCGTAGCACCTCTATGGATACATACAGTAAATAGCCTATGAGTTCATTCAGTATTCTTTATGTCTGTCTGGACATATTGTTTGGATTATTTAGAGGGAGTTCCTACAGTTTAATTGGTATCAGTTGCTATTCTCGCTTGTAGTCCGCAATTCACTTCTCTTAATTTGTGTTATGTGTGCTAAATACTGGTTTATTTGTGTATTATTCCATTTACTCCATGTGTATCCATCCATGACGTCAGTTCAGTTGAGGTGTGGTATAATGCCAGGCTAATTGGCAGCCTGGTTTAGTAGTGTGGTACTTGCAACTGCAGTACCAAGGTTTGACCACCAGAGGTCCCTGGAGACCAAATGATTTTGTCAGTGCCTCTGAGGCTGGAAGTGTATTTACTCTGTGTAACCCTTGAATGTGCATCATTTGGGAATATATTTGTTTTTGCATAGTCTTTAACTTTTGCATATTTATTTCACCATTTGTACAGTCCTTTTACATCATTCTTTGTATTTATTTTCCAGACCACATGGAACCACAGAAATGTATAGATGTCCATACTTCTACTGTCATTAAATACGTAAAACTGTCTCTCCGTGCCCTGCTCTCTGACCGGAGTCCTTATCTTGAAGATACTGTCAGATCAGCAAATAATTTCCAGAGTTCCCACTCTATCACGTAGACCAAAATTGATAATCATCAAGTAAAATAAACTTTTCAAACCGGCAGTGAGGCACCTGTGTTCATTATTGATTTTACTAACTAACAATATCCTTTTCAGAACTTTAATTGTAAATGTATAATTATAGGTGAAAGAACAACTGGTGTAATTGTCTAACTTAGAACAGATTCTTTCTAAATATTACTTGAGTGAATAATCATCAAAGAGCAGCTCAGAACATTTGTGGTGTATAAGTAAATCACATGGATCAGAAATACCTCTGTAGCTTATGTCTTTATTATGTAACAGATGAGTACACCTGAATGAGTTCAGCTAGAACAATTGTGTGTTTCACTGTGGCTCTCGGCTCAACTCTGGTGACAAAACACAAAGTAACAGTGAGGGGTTTTTAAAAAGCAGGGATTAGCAGGATGGGGATTAGCATGCAGTGTGGGAGTTCACAGCATGCAGGCCAGTTAAATCACACAAGCTGAGACTGATTTCATTTGTCTGAATTTAATTAACTCTACGATGTCTTACACTGTTTTTGCTATAACAAAGAAGGTATTCCTAATCTCAACCTAAAGTTTAGAGATTCCTGGACAGAGATGGAAACATTTTCATTATGACTCGTCTCTCATGATTTAGCTGAGCTGATGTAGAACTGGTGACTTGAGCGAACTATACGGAGCAGAAGAAAAAAAGGGCAAGTTCACTTATTTTCAACATATTAGCATTGGTCCCTAGTATAAATGAATGCCTTGTTAGTCAATCTCTGGAAAAAATCTCTGGCACTCTTGTTTCAGCAAATAGAAGCTAGCCAGAAGAGAAGGAAGCAGAACACGTTAAGATTTTGAATCCTATTTTCTGGATTTTGGAGATCTCGCTTCTGATTGGCTAACAGCAACACAATTCTAATACTGACTCTTTTTGCGCTGCAATGTTGACATTTTATCTCCACAAATAACTCAAGTCGGAAAGGAGTTTTGCCGTGTTGTGGACTTGCTAATGCTAATGGTTAGCTTCTACTAGACGTGCTCTGCTCTCTCCAGGATGCTAAAGCAACAGCTTGTTGTGAGCCAAGATGGGTGAGTTCACGAATGCTAATTTTCAGTGTGACATAGATCTGAGTGGCTTTTCTAATCTGAGTTTCCCCATCTATTTTATTTTGGTGGCTAATGCAGGAAATGGGGTAGAAGATTAACACAATCAGACTGCATGTGAAACTCAGAGTGACCAATAAAATTCCAAAAATAACCACCACTGAAAGGCAAAAGGCAAAGTTGGCTAAACACATTTTAAAGTACCCCACAAACAAATCACTGGATGTATTCTAACACTGATCAACTTCTTAAGTCAACCTATGTCAAGATGGCTGCCACAGATGATTGATCCCAAACTTACAAATGTCTAAAAGCCAGAATGAGTTCCCCTTTGATGTGACTGTAGTCCATCCCCTTAGCCATGCAGGGGCGCCTCCAGAAAATCTTGATAGGGGTGGCCAGAGGGGTCAAAGAAATCTTTGGGGTGGCACACCAAATTTGTCCTTGTGCTAACTCTGGGAGAGTTTAGCCTGTGGCGATGCACTGCATTGCTTCTTTATTCATATATATATATATATATATATATATTTTCTAGGTGTGGCCATGGCCACCCCTTGGGGGCGCCATTGTAGCCATGTATTATCAGATCAGACAAGATCCTTGTGATTTCGTGTGATATGTTAGTTTCAGGATCTCACAAAAAACATTTATAACTCCATCATTTAAGCATGCAAGCATCACGGTTTTAATTTTTGCATGAAAGGAGCTGAGCAATACACAAGCCTTCATAGATTTAATTCTGTGTTTGACAAACATTCTTTTAAATTGTAACAAACACATTTTCAGGTTCCTAAACTAATTAGCTATTTGTATTCTCAAGAAAAGAAAGGATTTTCCCATATTAAAGTTTTTGTTTTAACAAAAAGAAAAGGTCTTCTCCCACTCATACAGAATTTCACTGATCTGATACCTGAAAAGGGGCCCTGGGTGAAGTGCCCATGTCGTCGTAGAGCCTGTTTGAACTGTGCCACTCCCAGAATGACATTTCTCAGCTTCATCCACAGGAAGTATCCTCCTCTAGTGCTGGAAGGCCACGTGCTCTCCAAAACTGCCTGAAATCATATCGCAGAAAGAGGAGGAAGAAAGTCATGTAAATGTCATGGACTGTGGTGAGGTGAGGACCCAAACACAGATGAGCGATTAAGTGAGCAGGCAACAGGACGTCACGCTGGTAAACTGGACTAATTTTCTCAAATGGGGAAGGCAGACACAACAACCAACCAACAAACCAGCCAACTGACTGACGAGAACAGAGGGTTTAAATACATAAAGGTAATCAGGGACAGTTGAGTAGGAAACAGTCAGAAGCAGGAAATCAATAAATGCTAACAGGGGACAACAAGACCCAGTGTGGCAGCAGTTGAGAAGCAGTTTCTGACTAAAACTACTGATGGATGTTGGTGTTTTGATTTATTTTTATTACGTTTGACAGTAAAATGCTCAAATGTTTTCTCGTACATGAGTCGAGTTTGAAGAGTTTGATTTATGCCTGAAGTAAAAACAAACCAAATCCTGTTCCACTCATCTAATGAATGTTTTATTGGGGGTGTTAGGAGCAGCAGTTTCAGGTCTGCAGCAGCTGAAGCTCTCTGAGAACAGGTCACCTTCATCTGTCCACAGAGTGGACCTCAAATGTCCTTTGAGCAAATATGATTCAACAGAACTGGGTTGGGTAGACAAATGGGTCGTTTTAAGTAAATCCACCTTTCTGGTGATGATGTGAGGAGTTTTAAGCTAACTAAGGCATCAGAGTATCCGGTGTATAGTTACAAGACATATGAAGCCCTTGGAATTATACCGATTTCTGCACGGATTTGTCATAAAATGTTATCTGATCTTCATCTAAGTCACAACAATAGACAATCAGTCTGCTTAAGCTAGCACCACACAAATAATTATATGTTTCCATGTTTTTATTGAACACACCATGTAAACATCCACAGTTCAGGTGGGAAAAGCATGTGAACCCTTGGATCTAATAACTGGTTGAACCTCCTTTGGCTGTAATAACTTCAACTTTCCTCATGCTAATACTGTTTAGCTGCTTTAGCGGGACAAATTTAGCCAGTAATGTTACTTTACTGCCTAGAAATCTACACAAGTCACAGCAGTAGCAAATTACGTTGCTCTGCAGGTCAGACTAGCCACACCCCATTATAGCCTCAACAGGTCTATCATTGGCCTGAATGAGTTAAGGTCTGACCAATCACAGCGCTCTGCAGAGAGATGCTGGGCAAGCTTAGGCCCAATCTCAATACTCGCACTGGGGCCTTCAGAAAAGTGCACTTGGAGAAAGTGCGCAGTAGGGTTCAAGTGAGTAGTACACCAATGTGCAAATAATTGCGGAATTGAGATGGGGAGCATTGTGTCATCGATCGCAACGCATGCCGGGTTGCTGGTCGCTGTGAAACTTTTTTCAAAAACCTTTATTAACAACTTTCAAACAAACAAAAAAGTAATTATTTGAAATAAATTTTACTTCATTGCTGCTTTGTCTAAAACATTCAGAGCATCAAATAATCATCATAAAACGAACTAATTTCATTAGAAAATACATATTTTCAGAAAAGGAACTTGAGCCTTTTCTCCTTCAGCAATGACTTGTGGGTAATGGTAATACCCTTTCCCGAGGTCCGCATCGCTGCAGACTTGAGTGAAGTGCAGATTAAGGGTGCAATGAGGGCGTGGTCAAATTCCACACTTGAGAATCAGGACACCCTACGCACTCACACCCCTGGCCGGGAACGTGCAAATGAAGGGCACGAGGGTGCAAGTGCGAGTATTGAGATTGGGCCTTAGAACCATTACAGCAGAGCTTTTGTTTTGATATAAGCAGAACTGCAACAGAGCAAAACAACAAAGACGGCAACGGCCCAGGAACGGTGCTCATTTGAAACAGTTTTGGCATCAACTTTGGAAGATTTAGACTTGGGCTTTTGCTTGAGTCAGGAGAAGATACAGGTACTTAAAGGGGCATTATGGAAGTTTGACAGCCAAAACATGTATAGAAATTAAAGCTGCAAGCAGCGTCGTTCGGCCCTCGCAGCTCCGCGCCGCTCCGGCCTGGCCGGCAGCCCGGGGCACCAGGGCACGTCCGCAGAACACAAACGTCGACCACCCCAACACCAGAAACTGCTAACGGCCACCTTGTCCGCAACTCACCCTGACTCAGCATCCCCTTTGAGCCCACCATTATATTTTATGTCTCACCACTAGGGAATCCTCTATCTTTACCACACTGGTGGTGTGATGACAGTGACCAACTTTAATGCTATTCTGACCATGTTTTTTAAAGTTATCGAAGGATAACGTTATCTAGGTGGCGCTGTGACCAACTACAGAAAAGTCCCATTGAGGTCAGCTTTGGTGACATTATATAACATTCACCAACCGTTTGTGCCTCATTGGCTAAAGGGCATGATTGTTCATTGCCATATTCAGTTTCGGGCAAATCGGAGGCCGTTTGTGGAAATTACAGTCAAATGTAAGGTCATGGCGTCACGCCAGCATTCACCATGGCATCAAAGCCCCTCCCTTTCTGGAAAGCTATCAGATCTGAATGGTCTTTAAAACATCATGAAGACACTGTATGACCTGAGTGTCATTTTCATTAAATTAGAGGGGACAAATATGGGCATTTCACCATAAAACAATAGACTTCCTGTTGTCAGGGGGCGGGGCTTAGGTGATGTCAGCTGTCCACATTGTCGTTGTCTTGAGATGTGGTCAGTGATCACACAGACAAAGTTTGAATTAGATCTGATCATGCACATGGGAGTTATTAAGTCAAGTAATGTCATGGCGAAAGGTCAAAGTTTGAGGCTTAGCCACGCCCACACCTTTATACTTATTTAAAATCCGACGGTTGAATTTTTTCCCCTTTGACTTAAAAGTACATAGCATAAGTTTGAAGGTGATCGGTGTAAAGGGCAACGGGCCATCAATGTCCAAACAACGTGTGCGAAAACCACTAAATCGAGTACTTGGACCAAAATGGCCGACCTCCTGTGCGAAATTGCGCTTGGCTCCAAGAGACTTTTTTGTAGGGCCAGAGACCCTACATGAGTGTACCAATTTTCGTAATCCTCAGTCAAACCTTGTCTTGGGGCTGACAGTTTTAATGGTCCTAGGGGGCGCTATTTCAGAATATAGGCCACGCCCACAAATCTCAGATGCCCATTTCTATTGGGGGTCAGACTAGGATCACTCACCAGACATTTTGTGGCGATGTCACGATAATTGAAGAAATGAGAGGCAAACGTATTGCCATGGCGTGATGGAGAATTTCGCCATGCTCCCAAAGCCCCGCCTTTTTTCAAAACCTGCCAGTACTGTAGACCAAGTGACCTCAACTTGTCAGCTGCTATTTACCAGAGATTCCAGGTGATTGGGTAAAAGGAGTCCAATAGGGAGCTGTGAAAAAAAGAGTGGCGTGGCGAAAGGTCAAAGTTTGAGGCTTAGCCACGCCCACACCTTTATACTTATTTAAAATCCGACGGTTGAATTTTTTCCTCTATGTCTTAAGAGTATATAGCAGAAGCTCGAAGGCGATTGGTGAAAAGGGCGACGGAGCATCACTCTCCAAACAACGTGTGTGAAAACCACTAAATCGCGCACTTGGACCAAAATGGCCGACTTCCTGTGCGACTTTGCACTTGGCTCCAAGAGACTTTTTTGTAGGTCCTGAGACACCACATTAGTGTACCAAATTTCGTAATCCTCAGTCAAAGCATGGCTTGGGGCTGACAGTTTTAATGGTCCTAGGGGGCGCTAATACAGAAAATAGGCCACGCCCACAAACTTAAGCTGACCTTTTCTATTGGGGGTCAGACTAGGATCACTCACAACAATGGTCGAGGTGATATCACGATAAATGAAGAAATGAGAGGCAAACGTATTTCCATGGCGTGATGGCGAATTTCGCCATGCTCCCAAAGCCCCGCCTTTTTGCAAAACCTTCCAGTACTGGAGACCAAGTGACCTCAACTTGCCTGCTGCTATTTACCAGAGATTCCTGGTGATTGGGTAAAAGGAGTCCAATAAGGAGCTGTGAAAAAAAGAGTGGCGTGGCGAAAGGTCAAAGTTTGAGGCTTAGCCACGCCCACACCTTTATACTTATTTAAAATCCGACGGTTGAATTTTTTCCTCTATGTCTTAAGACTATATAGCAGAAGTTTGAAAGTGATTGGTGAAAAGGGCGACGGAGTATCACTCTCCAAACAACGTGTGTGAAAACCACTAAATCGCGCACTTGGACCAAAATGGCCGACTTCCTGTGCGACTTTGCACTTGGCTTCAAGAGACTTTTTTGTAGGTCCTGAGACACCACATTAGTGTACCAAATTTCGTAATCCTCAGTCAAAGCATGGCTTGGGGCTGACAGTTTTAATGGTCCTAGGGGGCGCTATTTCAGAAAATAGGCCACGCCCACCAGATGTTCACATCAGATCTTTTGGGGGGCCGGACTAGGATCACTCACAAGAAGTTTCGTGACGATATCTTTGGAAATGACGAAATGGGAGGCAAACGTAAGGCCAAGGCGGTACGCCTGAATTCGCCGCGCCGCCACAGCCCCGCCCTCTGCCGAAAACTCCCATAAAGTGACGCCAAGCAACCCCCACTTGTCTTGAGTTACCAGCTACAAATTTGTGGTGATTAAGTGAAATGGGGCAATTTGGGACCTTTCACAGTAAAACTTGATCTTTTTGGTCCTGAGGGGGCGGGGCTTGTGTGATGTCATCATCCGACCATTCAATTTACTTTGTGGGTGGATGACGAATGACCACAGAAAGTTTGGTAACTCTATTCCATTCAGTTATGAAGTTATAGCAATTTAAATATTTTTGGCGAGTAGTCAAACTTCGAGGCCTGGCTCCGCCCCTTCAACATATACGAAAACTCAGAATCCTTATCTCATTTTGTTCGCCCATCCCTTCTGAGCAATTTTACACAATTTTTGAGACGATCGTGCGAAAAATGATCGAGCAATCCAATCAGAAACGGACCCTAAAAACAGCAAAAACGGCAAAAAATCGCCATTTCAACCCAAAAT